CACACATTTTTTGGTTTTTCTTTCATTTTATTCATTCATTATATCTCCTATCATTTTACCGAGATGGAGAAGAAACAAACTGTCTCGGTAAACTAAAAAGATCTTTCCCTTCAAAAGGAGAACTCCACTCCCGGGAACCTGCAGTAGAACTTTCACCAGCAGCTGCTCCACCTTCTTGCAATCCAGGTGCGGGGACATTGCTCCCGTTTGAGGTCAATGGTCTCATCGTTTGTTGCAGAGAAACTACTCCAGAAGCATTAGAATCATGCATTTGAGCCCGAGTCTTTGTAAAAGGTGAAAGCCCCAACAATAAAGTATTTGACTTTGGTGAAGATAAACCTCTATCCAAAGACCAATCTATGCTTGTATAATCAAACTGCATCGACCCACCAGTGCTCCAGTCTACGGGAGAAGATGCCCCTGATGTGGCTGCTGAACCTTTCCCTGAAAAGAGACCTAGTGAAGAAGCAGCAGCAATTGTTTGAGACGGACCCGCTCTATTCCAATTGCTATTGCCTCGGTTGGCTGCTTGAGGATCTACTGAATTGCTGCTACCAGCAGCAAACAGTTGTTGAGGTTGATACTGAAGTTGGTGGTACATTTGATTAGAACCTCGATAGTTTGGACTAGGGCTTCTAGTACTAGGAGCTTGGGGTAAAAACATATTAGACCTCATAGCTTCTACACTATTAGATGGATACCAACTCGCAGATATTCCAGGAGGTGATGAACTCATGCTTGCAGCCGGTATCTGCTTTGCATTTACAGTTTGGGGCCGCTGCATTACAACTATGGGTTCTTTGGCTACTCCAGGTTGAAGGTTCTTATAATCACCTCCGACAGACACAAAACGAGCATCAGTCTTAGCAGGTGGGGGTGACACTTGCAACGGTGAAGTCAATATATAAGAAACAGAAGGATTAGATCCTGCACCAGACCACCTTTTGTCAGTTGATATAGTCGCCTGTTGTGGCTTTACCCAATCAGACTTAGGTGGCATTCTTTTTAGAGGTTGCATATTTTTATTACTGGAATCTGAGGATAATCCATTCGTTATTGCTGCTTTTGTATAGTTAAAATCTTTGTCATCTGTTTTGTGTTGATTCAGAGAAGGAACGGGTTTGGTTTGTGACCTTGGGTTCTGACTAGAAACTCCTGACTGCTTACCATTGTTTATGATAGAAGGATCACCAGTTTCCTCTGGCTTTGGAGGCGCAGATGGTGGATCATGTTTTGTTTCTCTCAAGGTCTCTGCAGCCTTTTCAAGATCACCCTCACAGGCAACGATGACTCTCTCAACCTCCTGTTTTGAGCAACCGTACCTAATTTCCATGTCTGCAATCCTAGCAAGTTCTTCTGATATGTCAATTTTCAAATTGCCCCCCCTGCCCGCGGTTTTATCATTTTGACCATCTTCTTCACCACTTTCAAATAGCCATGCTACTGATTCCTCCACTCTACCTTCATTCAATACCAGTGCCATTGTTGCCCGTTCCTGAGAAAATCCCATAGTCACGAACTGTTGAGCAAGTGTCTCAAGTTTCCTTGACATAAGATATCCTCTGCACTTTTCACGCAGCTCCTGTGCCCGTCTTTCCTTCTGCCTTTGATGTTTTCTCTCATTTTTTTGGCGGATTTTCTCTCGCTTATCGTTATCAGCTCCAGGAACTGCTTCCAAACGAACAGGGGGATTAGAAGTTTTCTCTTTATGGTCTTCAGACTCACCAGACCAACTACCATTGTTAGAAACAGAATCATATTCAACACCAGCTACCACCGAGCTGCCAGGATGTTCATCTGTCTCATCTATGTTCCGAAAACGACCATTAGAATGTATTGGTGAGGAGGAGGGTGCCACTGAAATGTCCAGAGTATGGAATGTTCCTAATAATGGATTATATCCACTCGCTGGAATACCAGCTGCTGCACTACCAGATCCTGTGGACTTCGCAGAAGCTTTCTGAGCTTCCTTGCTAGCTTTTTTGTCTTTAGACTTGGATCGTGACGCAGGAGACATCTCTTTAACCCTGTCACATTTAAAGAATAATTTGAGTACATTTTTTTATATTTAACTACTGAATCGGAAGATTATTACAAGCATCAACTAAGACCGAAACAATTTATTGACTGAATGTTGAGATCCTCTCCATTTGGAGTGAGATAGACACAAAAAGTAGATAGCGGACCTTGCATCAAGTGGGTCCAACCATCATTAATTTTTTAAAACGCCTGTGTCTATCTCTCTCCCAATGGAATTCTCCATTACATTCTATTCACATGTTATGATGCAATCCACAAAATAAAATAAAAATGTTGACATTAGTATTGTAATATGTATGTATGGATCTTTATTGGCAAAAGATCAAGAAACAAGAACTTACAATTTGGAGGAAATTAATGAATACTAAAGCTAATGAAATGAAAACTAAATCCCATTCTCTAATTTGTAGTATAACAATCTAAAAGGGGGCAATTATTTCAGCATAAAATCATATTAACAGCAGAGTTATTAATCCCGGATAGCGGAGCGGAGCGGCCGACCCCCGGGAATGGGAAAAGTGGGAATAGCAGGATCCCGGATAGCGGGATAACCTTTTATATACTAATAATTATATTATAATAATCTATGAAAGAGGGCTTGCGAACGGCAGAGATGTGAGACAAAAGTAGAAGAAGATGGAACGGTGGAGATTGGAGAAGATGTACTTGCTGGAACGGTGTATGGTGCTGTTGCTGCCTTGCTGGAAGCCTGGAACGGTAGAGAAGATGCGGACTGCAGTTGTATGTTGCTGCCTTGCTGGAACTAGAACGGTGGAAGAAGGGCGCACAAAAATTAGGGCAGAAGAAGAAAGTGAGAAAGTGAAATGAAGGAAAGAAAATATAATGCAAATCTGTTTTAAAAAGTATTTTAAAAGAGGGGTAAAACAGCAATTTTGTCAAAAAAAAAAATTAAAAAAAAAAAATCAGGCCAAACCGCTCCGCCCGGGAGGCGCCCGCTATCCGCGACCCGGGATAGCGGCGATAGCGCCCTCTATCTTCTCTCCGCCACCGCACCCTTGTGCGCGCGCGGCAGGCCTCCGCTCCGCTCTGGAGCGCCGCTATAGCGGCCGCTACGGGCGCTATTAACAACTCTGATTAACAGTAATGACTAATGATTCACCGAGGAATATTATTTCCAAGTATAACTTACTATGGTTGGTAAATACTTATCATTCCTAGGAATTATATTACAAAAATTAGTACATGATAAAAAAGAATCAAAGAGTATAGAAAAAAATGTGGTAGAATTATTAGGTGAAAGTGGGAAATTATTGTTTGAAGTGCTAAAAATAACTACAATGCCAATGGAAACATAAGATCTTCAGCGTTTAACAAGTGAACAGAGAGTGGGAAATATGTGGGTAAACAAGATTCTTGGAAATCAATAATACCAAGTGTAATACAATAATATATAAACTAGTAACAAGCATAAGAGTGTAATATTCTCAGGGGATATTATGTTGGTTGGGTGGCTGGGGTGGGAGAGTGATAAGGAAGCCAATGGTTCAATCCCCACTACCATCATAATCATAATACTAACAATTACTAACAATATTAAGATAAGCCATTTTAACAAATGTACTATTTTCAATTGGCACTTCCCCCAGATGAATTATAATGTATTATATGCCTCGAAACAAACACACTATGGGAGGAAAAAAAACAAGGAAAGAAAGTGAATTAGCCCAAATAGTAACTACATGGTTTGATCCCCACTAACTATCCCAAATACTAACTACAAACAAACCATGCCAAAATAATTCTCCATATAAATATCTTTTCAATTAAAAAAATAAATATATATGACGCAAGGACACCGGAAACACTACACAGGTAATAACTTGAAAAAATGAATAAATTAAATCACAAGTGTTGGTGTAGGTTTCGGACACCGACACAGAGACACCTTTTTTTAGAGGTGTCATTGCTACATGTTAAGAGGAAACATCGAAGAAACATAAAATGGGGGAAGGATTAACCTGAAGGTATCTAATCATTGTGATGAGAAATAGGACTTAGAACAATTATACATAGCCGATCTTACGATAAAAAAGTAGGTCCTTGTAAGATCATGTCTCTTCATTTATTCGTACAAGCAGTACATAAATCTCTAATCATTTTAACTTAATTCTTATCTGGTAACACAATGACACGGGAAAGCATCCAATTTGAGAAAATTTCACTTGAATCTGCCTATACAGATAAACAGCACAAGTCCATAATTTTCCAAATGATTACCGAGAAAATAAGTTAACAGAACAAGTACACATAATCCAGTACCACTTCTCACACAAGTATAGCATTTTGATCAAACACACAGCAATATTGATCAAACACACAGCAATACTGAAGCAAAGTAAACGACGAAAAACAATGAACAATAAGGAGAAGATAACAAAGCCATATTTTCATGTTCAGACGCCAAGAACAATTACAAGATCAGTTCCTGCTTGAAATACTAATACCAACACTCATGCCCACCAATTCCAGTTGAGGAACAGCTTCTCATCGGATTAAATCTATAACTGATATAAAGTAAGAGACGGAAAACAACAAACAGCCATAAGGAGAAGATAACAAAGCCATATTTTCATGTTCAGACGCCAAGAACAATTACAAGAGCAGTTCAGGCTTGCAATACTAATATCAACAGTCATGCCCCCCAATTCCAGTTGCGGAACAGCTTCTCATCAGATTAATTCTATAGCTAATTCACCTTCAAGCCAAAGCTTGCAGTCTAAGTCGAACAAAAAGAGTGAAGGATCCATTTGGTTTCAGGAAACATTTGATATTTTCACACTTTTAATCACCCAACTTTGATTTCACTAGATTTCCAGTTTAAAAAAACTGCGAAAACAAGTGAAAAACAAATGTAACAATACAAGTGAAAACAAATGAAAAGTAAATCGTCTCCTCAAACCAAACCAAACCAAACCAAACCAATATTCTTCCACAGAACTATGACCAGTAGTAGCTCCCAATTTTCCACAAGTATATCAGTGATCATTCTTAATGAACATTCAAAATTCCAGAACTAACCATTACACCACAAATCACCAAATTACTATCATATCTATAGCCAAACTACAAAACATTTTCCATTATCTATCAAGAAAACGCTGCCAACACAAAGAAACCTAACAAATCCAAACCGAGTTTCAATATCAAAAATCCACAATCAAAGCAAAAACGAACCAAAACCACCACAATCCACACGCGATTCGCTACAAAATCCACACTTCACAAATCCAAAAACACTCAAACTTCTCCAATTCCACAACCGCATGAAAAACTAAAATGCGGATTTCGAATCACTGAACAAAACAATAAACACAAACACGCAATTTTCACACTCTTCGATACAATCCACAACTTGCCGACAAAGATCATAGCTATGGCTTCGAGACGAAAAATACGAAGAAAAAATGAGAAAATTGAGAAGCGGGGGAAGAGGAAGTACCGACCTGAGGTTTCAGACAAAGTAGCGGCGATGAAGGAGGATGTTAGTGCTTGATGGATCGTTGTTCAACGGGAAAATCGTTAGAGAGAGAAGGAATAAAGAGAGAGAGGGTGAGATAGGTTTTTCGAGGCTCAAACTGAATTCGATAGAATTAGGGTTTTGAAGAGAGATCTGAAAAATGTAAGAAAAAAATTAAATGATTCTTTTTTTTTAATTAAAAAAAAAGTTTTTTTTGACAAATTAAAAAAAAAACTTATTAGTAAGAAATAAATAAACCAATCATTTATTATTATCATTATCTCATAATGTTTATTAAAAATAAATAAATTTAAAATTATTATCTAAAACAATGATAATTTTTTTTATTTTTTTTATTTAAATGATATTATTCTAAAAAAAATTATTAACATAGAAAATGGAAAAATAGAAAAATGAAAAACAAATTAAAATGCGATTTTTTTATTTATTAACATAGAAAATGGATAAATAATATTATTCTAAAAAAATTATTAACATGGAAAATAGAGAAATAGAAAAATGAAAAACAAATTAAAATGCGATTCTTTTATTTACTAATTTTTTATAGTATTTAAAAATATTTATTTATTTTAATTTTTTTATTTTCATCATCTGTATCAAATTTATTGGACCGACTAATATATTTTTAACGATTATAATCGTGAGAATTAAATTATATTCTTTTCTATTAAATTAAATGTCAATTAACACTGAATAAATTAATTATTTATATTTATTTTAATATTTTAATAATAAAATAGTGTCGCCACATGTTTAATGGAAGTATTTGAATTTTGTTTAAATTATTTTTACAAATTTTAAGTAAATTCATTTTATAAAAGTAGTATCATTTGAAACAAATTATTTATTATGTTAAAAAAAAAATAGTGTTATTACATGTTTAATGCATGAATTTGAATTTTATTTAAATTATTTTTTACAAATTTTAAATTAAACTCATATCATAACGTAATTTATAATCAACTAAACTAATTTACATTTACTCGTCGTTATTCATCTAATTGAACAGTAAGTTTATTATTAGTCCTCTCTTATAATCAACTAAACTAATTTATATTTACTTTTAAAAAAAGTATTTTCTTATCAAATATTGAATAATGAATCTCTTGTTAAAAAGTGTCACTATACATATTCTATTATTTTTTATTTAATTTCTTTATTTAAAAATTTTACTTTTTAATAAAAATAAAACAATGAATCAAAAAACTCTTTATATATTGGCAGGGACGGATCTACCTCTAGCACTGTGTGGGCAGCTGCCCCCATCAAAGTTTTAATTCCTTTTATAAAGCTTTTAATTCCTTTTACCTATAGTGCTTGTTGTAATAGATTGAAACTATTCGAGACTCAGTTTAACACCCTTCACACACTTTAACAGCCCCAATTAAAACGTTCAATATAGGTATACATTTACAAAAGTTTTTTTTATCTCGGTATACATTTAAAGAAGTCTTTTATCTCTCGTAAATATCTTATTTTTTAAACAACATAATAATTGTGTCATAAATTGCTTAATCATTCCACTAAAGTAAACTATTGTGTTTGCTATTTTGGGTATAATATTTTAATAATTTTATATATATATTTTATAATATTATATATATATATATATATATATATATATATATATATATATATATATATATATATATATATATATATATATATATATATATATATATATATATATATATATATATATATATATATATATATATTACTCCTACAGTGTAAAATTTCTGGATCCGTTACTATATATTGATATATTTACATTTTTTTTAAAAATATAATAAATTTATTTCCTTCATCTTCATATAAAAACAATAAAATATAAAATTTATAGGTAAACAAAATCGCAATGATCATTATATTTTAAAAAGTTAATTAATCTTATTTATTAATTTTAAAATTAAAAATATATTAAATATTAAATATAAAAAAGTTAAAAGATAATGCACTGACAATATAAAATAATTTTATATTATTATTTAATAAAAATTCATCATTTAATCATGTTATATAATTTATTTAAAAATAATAGTACGAATAACATAAGTGTTATTAATTGACATTATAAAAAGTCAATTGAGATCTTCTTCGTTTCTCAAAAAAAATAATAAAAATGTTATTAAGCATTTATATATAAATATATATTTTTTTGAAATATGTAATATGTATTTTATATAATTTAATTTATATTCAATGAAAACATTAGAAATGGAGATGATCTTTACCTATAAAAAGTATATATCTCTTTTTCTCAACATAAAATAAGTAAAATGCTTTTTTTTTAAATACTAAATATAGTGGAGTTAGTTAAGTTTTATTTATATATTATATTAAAATAAAAAAAAATTTGATATTTATATTTGACATTGGAACTATTGTTTTATTAAGCCATTTTCTTATAGCATGTTTCTACTTTAATATATTTGTATATCTTTATGGATAATTATACACATATTTATCCCTCCAATTATATATATAAATTTCTCTTTTTTTATTTATTATTTCAATTTTATTTTGAATTTTTAAAATATTGTTCTAGGGTGGAATGAAAAATATGTAGTGTTGAGTATTGAGAGAACAATCTCTTTCATTGCAGAGTGAGAGTTCCCGATACGACAAGGTGAAAAGAACCTGTAAAGTTAGTATTTCAACACTCAAGTGAGTAAAGTTTAAGATATGTAGTTTGGGAGTGAAAACGAGATAATAGTTGAAATGACGTGTCTTTGGATTTATATGTGGTAGATGGTTAAACCGCTTTCTTCTAGCCCATTGTGGGATGTAGAAAGTCATCTGATCAAATTTGACAGCAATTAATGCGTCATTAATTGGGATTAAATTTCCGGTCATTGTCGAGGTCTCATGTTCCTTTATATGTTGAATAAATCTTGTAAAATGGGCCTCGCATTTGGGCCTTCTTCTTTGGGAATGTGACTAGCTTGAAACACTTGCCCCCAAGTTCTTAGTGGTAGTTGGTGAATCGTGGATTGACATTACCAGACCACCTTTTAGTGTCGTTGTATTCCTCCCATGCTAGTCGTTGGTCTGCGGAAGTTGAAAAATTTATTGAGTTTGAAAGAGGTGGCCTCAGAAACACGTGTATTAAATGTATGTCTTGTAATCTCAATGTTTTATAGAGCGAATTAGACACATAGCCCTATATCTGATGGTGAAAGTGGCCTATTAAGGTACTCGAGTACCTAGGTAAATTGAGATTATATATGGTCTGTTGATGGCATGAGCATCATTCCATATGTCTTCTAATGTTGATTGTGTGATTATCGATCAAGCAATATATGATGATCTCAGGGTGAACTCTCTCATCTTCGTATTCTTGTTGTTGTTAGGGTTTATAAATCTTCTCACTGTTCTTCCTATTTTCGATTACATCTCTTGTTATAGTTCCTTGCTAGTTATTTTTTCGATGCTCCAAGTGGCACTTTTATGGTCAAATTTGTATGTGTATCGGGATCACTCATCTTCAAAGATAATGAACAATGCCAATTTTCCTTTTGGACTTTCTTATCATTTTTTTGAGTTCTGCGAAAATGGTCATGGAGGAATCGAAATGATATTATAATGTGGAGAATGGAAAGAATGTTGGCAGTCTTGACCACAAGGAAGTTTCCAAGGGTTTTGTTTTTCCATTTTTGTCTTTGACAAACCCAGTTTTCGTGAGTGAAGTTAAACAAAAATGAAATGGTTGGACTTACATCACGGTGCATCATCGCAGTTTTGGTAATGACCCAACATATATTAAATTAATTTGGTGGTTGAAATCTCAATCGCGTTCTTATTATTACGATCAATCATTTTTTGTCACAAAAAAAAACTAAATAAGTCAAAATAATTATCAAACAACCAAAGATGCATGGGCGGGGATCCATCGATATGGATGGAGCAGAACACGATGGACATTGTTTCCGTCTTTTTCGATAAAGGAGGTCTACACCATGCCTTCACTGATGTGGGTTCTTCCTCGGAATGGGGAGTAATCTCTTTGGAAGAAGACAAAAGGTTATGCAATAAGTATGAAGGATGTCTCATTCCCCTTCATGAATGTTTAGTTTCTCTGATAGGTTTCAGGCTTCCCTTCAATGACTTTGAAGTAAGCGTGCTCAATCACCTGAGAGTTCCCCCTTCACAATTGCATTCATCCAGATTCGTCTGCTACAAAGTATTTGAGCATCATCACGAATAAATATAAGAGGAATATACCAATCTTGAGGCTTTTTTCCATCTTTGTAATATCTTGTTGGATAAAATGTGAGTGTAGAAATGTCCTTATACCTAAAAAGAAATAGAGTAAAATTGGCATGACATTATTTACTAGTCCTTGCATTAGAAACAATAGTTGAGTAAAATGAACCAAACATTATTTACTCGTCATTGTAGAGAAAAATATCATATATTATTCGCGTCAGAAGTGATTAATGAATTTGTCTTCAAGTTAAAAAAAAGTTGAATAAAACAAATCAAACAATGTTCTTATATATATATATATATATATATATATATATATATATATATATATATATATATATATATATATATATATATATATATATATATATATATATATATATATATATATATATATTGATGTTTAGGGTGAACCAGTAAATAAGTGGTTCATGTGTTGGAAATCCATCAATTCTTTATGATGAATTTCGACCACCACTGATTATTAGTTATGACAAACAAATAAAAAGAACACTAGAAATATTTCTGCAGAATTTCTCTTCTGCCCACAAACTGTGGAATCTTTATTATTCACTTTGCAACTGCAAAATACTGTGAATGACTTGATTACAAAATAGGAGTTACTCCCTCTATTTATAGATTTAGGTTAGCTTGCTCCCTAAGTTAAACCCAAACCCAAAATATCTCTTTACTAAATCAAATCTAATCTAGATTTAAATTCAAATCTATTTAAATCTAAACAAATCAAATCTTCTTTTGACACATATGAATTACAATTTAACACACCACCTAATTCATTGTGTCTA